GGGGGGGGGCTGTTTCGTTTATATTTTTTATTTGATGTCATATTGATTTTGTTTTGCTTTGTTTGTCTTTTTTATTTTTACGGGGATGGTTGCTTTGTTTGATTGGTGTTGCTTTTTTCCCAGAGTGAGGAAGCTGTTTCATTGAGCACCTTGGTATGGCTGATATGCTTTTTGTCACCTAGCTCACTGTGGTTTTTCAAAAGCAGGATTGAAGTAGTCCGCCTCCGAAACGATAAAACATCTGTCTAACAGAGCCAAACATCATTACCATTCACAAATTAATAAAACGTCTTGACACCGGCGCATTAAATATAGAAACTGAAACAGCAATAAAATAGGCCTCTCAGAAATTTATGGGACGTAGTTGATTTGTTTAATGGTATTTTTTTCTCTATTATTTAAAGAGAATGTTGTTAAACGATACTTCTGTTCTGTTGAAATATAAACAACAGTTACTGTGTTGCCGACATCGTTATTTGTGAATCTGTACAGACTGAAAGATTACATTATGTGTAAAAATAAATCTAATTTTTTTTACGGGAGACATTTTCCTATTAGTTTGAAACCTGACACTATGAAGACCCTGGCATGTCTCAGTTTTAAAGCAAATCCACATAAAAACCTCGCTTTGAGATTAGTATTGATATTGACGTTACAGGAACCGGAAACCGGGTTGTGACGTCACGGTGGATGGCACATTCCACACAAAAGTTCCATCTCGAAGTGACAGATTGAAAAAAATCAATGCGGATAGTTCCGTATGCAGTCAGTGCTGGTTATGTCGAGTCACGTCAAGCTTGCCAGTTTGAATTTCTCAGTTCAGACATAAATAATTCTCTTTGCAAGGACAGGGTTTTTAGAAAAATAATATTAAGGACTTCGTCGGTGAAATGATTCATCGTATTTCTCAATTTTAGTACGTGGGGAACAACAGAGCCAGGTAATAGAACTGACCCAAATATCTCAATATCTTGTTATTTGATGTAATACTTTTCTTTGAACGACATCCCGTAAAATGCAAAGAAAAGAGTTCGGGTGTACGAATTTTCGGAAAAAATAGCTTTTTGTGTTAAGAGAAAAAAACAAAAATGACAAATTCAGAGTAACAGCAGAAAATGTACGTTAAGAAAGACAAACAGATTGATAGGCAGACAACATAAATTAGATATCTGGGTTGAGAAGTCTGGTCATCATGTTTCCTAGTCTCTAATCTGGGATGATGAATTCGATTAAGCCTAGGGTTTCGGTGAAAGAAAGGGTGTTTTCTATGTTTGGGTAGAGAGAACAAGGGTTGTTTTAATGTTAGGAAACAGCAGGACAAACAGTCCATTTGGAAACAAAAGAAGGCAGTAAAAGAGAAAGAGTGAGATCAAAGTATCCCGCTTAATAAATACCTAAACTGAGACAATGTAGACGTAAATCATTTACAATGTATTAATCAATTAATCGTTGAAACAATTAATCATATGGAAGAGAAGCTGCCCCAATCTTTTTCTCAAATCCTTTCACAACAAAATGAGTAATACATTTCAAAACCATGTCGAGGTACATCTTATTATACCATCGTATGTCTCCCCCTAAATTATATAAACAGTGTCGATGTGGGCATTAAGGCCACACATGGGTTTTTAGGGTCCAGTTTGGGGTGAGAAAAAGTTTTGGGGGTTTTAAGAAACTTTCTTTCAAAATTATGTGCTAAATCGAATGGAAATACCCCCAAAGTTCTATTTCAAAGAGATAGCTTCATAAGGTTTGTATAATTGTGAGCCAATACAATACTTTAAAGAAATGTTGTGATGTTTTGCTCCTTTCTGCATAACGTTCATTCCTTGAGTTTTAAAAGCTGAAGACTCAAAATCAATTCAAGATAAAGACATTGAATTTGGAGGGTAATTGCAACTTGCAAAATATTCATTTCTTGTCTTTAAAAGCTGAAAACTCCAAAACCATTCAAGATAAAGATATGGAATTTGGAGGGTAACAGCACAATGCAAGTTTGAATAAATTGACCCGAAATTTTTCACATTTTTTCTAAACTATATTTTCATTTATTTCTTTTTACTTCTCGTATAAGTAATACAATTGTGAGGCAACGTGGTGGAATCAGGTTCTCGTCAATTTTTGGGCATGTAGAG